GTTTCTGTGATTATTAGGTGATGTAAGAACTTGAAGATCGCTGATTCTTTCTGTTCCTACTGGCAGGGGTGTCTTTCATTGGCAGTACGAATGAAGAATATAGTAGAGTCATGTTGTAATAAGCGAAGGTATGTTATATGCGATTTTTACCTCGTATTGGACGTTCTGTATTGTTTGAAAATTTTTGTTAATGTTCAGTAGTGCTGTTTCATCATTAGTTGTCACTCTTCGCTCAGATACTACGTGGGATTATATATTATCGCTTGGTATGTAATTTTGCCATTTAAGTGAGCACGAAAGGAAGCTATTCTCAGTGAATTTTGCACGTAACTTGCTGTTCTCATTTGTTCTGCTCTTAATAGTTTTATGGCATCGAATACGTTTAGTTGTATTTATTGTACGATTGCAGTATTGCAGCTTAGCGTTGCAGTAACGATTGTCAGGCAGTCATGCAGTTTCAGTGACAGCTTAATTGTACAGGTTACGAAGGGAGACATTGCAGATAGTGTTCCCGTTCCTGTGCCAGCGTTTGAATTTCGGCAGGGTATAACCTGGGTCGAGTCTTTCCATATACTTGCCGCAGGTTATTATTTGCCATCTACTAGGTGTTCGGCCGGTAGGTTGAGCAGTAATAGCCGTTTCGCCTTCCTTTCTGGAAGCATTCACAAAACGTGCTAAAACCACTGCAGCTATGACTTTTCAGTTCTGAGTTGCAGCGGCATTATAGCATAGCTCTTTCAATCATCTATGCTCCTAACCATGTCGAAAGCTCGAACCCGCCGATTCATCTCAGAGATCTCATTTCAGCGGCTTATAGCCGGGATTGAAGCTTTTCTGTCATAGTTGACGACTCATGGCCGCATGTGAGCATGGAATTGAAGATTGATTTGAACACCGAGAGCTTAGTCTTCAGACTTAGCACTGCCTTAGTCACAACAGTTCGGGCTGTTTCACGCTGACGATTCTAATTCGCCGGTCGATCAATTAGACCCAGCTGTTTATCATTCGTAAACACGACTCCTGGTTCGTCACCTCCACAGCTGCTTCTTAGTTCATCTGCAGACCACAGCAGGCAGGAAAATGAGAAAGCGCTATGATTTACTCTTAGTCACGCATGCCGGCCTTGTCCTACTGTGCTGCGAACCTTTCTAGAGTGCTGTCTATGTAGAGCACAAACAGGAGAGGGAGCCGAACGCAGCTTTGGCGGAGACTATTGCCAACGCCGAAAGGTTTCGACTTAATGCCATTTACTCAGAAGCAGCACCTACTATCAGCATATAGTGATTGGATGGCCTGTAGCAACTTGCCGTAGTCCTCCATATTCGCAAGCACATCCATAGATTATTGCGCCAGATCCGGTCATAGGCTTTGTCTAGGTTAACCAAGCGCAGATAAACCGAATGATCGAACTTCCACGATTTCTAAAAATGATCTGATGTAGGGCGAATATCTGTTCAGCTGCGCTTCGGTCAGACCCTCACATTTATATTTTGGAGTCACTTATTCCGTGGCACCTCCCTTTTTCACCTTGGCGTAGATTTTACCCCGAAGCTCAGTAAGATAATAACTGGAGCACTCCCTATAGTCTCCCTTCTTGAGCAAGGGTACTACCATCCCGTTCCGTGGTCCTTTGGTATCTTCCCTGTATCCACTGCAGTTTGATAGACTCGGGTAAAGTAACATTTGCATTGTTCGCCTACTTGGTTTAAGCATCTCAGGGCAGATTTAATCGATTTTAGCAGCCTTACCACTTTTAAAACCTTTAGCAGGGTCTGTGCCTTCGTTTACTGAAAGACTAATATCTGTCCTCCGACTATTTTTTTTAGGCAAGTCTTCCTGCGACTGCTTAGGATTAAGGAGTTCCGCAAAATATCTGGCCATCGCCGAGTAAATCCACTTCATTGGTAAGAAGTCTGGACTTGTCCTTCAGAACTGCCCATCTTGTAATCGGCGGATGGTCTGTCAGAATACCTGTCTTATCGTCTGGAAATTCGACTGCAGCACTTCACCGAAGTTTTCTCAGAAATCGCTTTGGTTACTCTTTTGTTGCCGCCTTGCGTGCTTTTTCGTATCTTCCTCGAGAAGAATGCTCTTTGTTTCCAAGCCATTTCTTGAACCCTGCCTTCCCTTTAACTTCCAGTTGTACCTCTCATGTCCACCAGGAAGATATTTTCTGACCTCCAGGCGGCAGGCCAACTCGTTTAAATCCACAGCATTCTGCGGCAGCCTCGAGTAGGTCGAGGAGTTCCCACTGGGTTTCCACCTCAGTGGCCATCACCGGGATCTGTTGAATCCGCCGTGCGATGTTGTTTGCAAATTTCGCTCTCGTGTCCACCGAAGATTATGTTTCCCATTTGATTCTCCGGTTGCTTCTGCCACTAGATCTTCGTGTGGTACTCCATTTCTTACA